CAGGAGTATATAGGGAGGAAAACAGCAGCTCCATCAAAACACAGTGCACATGAGGAGGCTGAGGATAGCTGAAGTGAAAAGTCAAATGGCTGCTCTGTGTAAAAGCAGGGCCTGAGGCTCTCCGCACATCTCTTTGTGAACGGCCAGAGTGATGACTTTTTAGAGAAACCAGTGCTCCAGCTCTTATCACAGTAGCTCAGTAAACAACACCTGTAGACGTCTGAAATCTGGCCATCCACACAGTCAGAGATAGAGCTGTCCAGAAACAATGCCCTTATCAGCATAGGTCTGCATGCAGCACTCACCCTTCCTGGCTGGAGGAGGCCGCTCTGCCCTCTCACACTGTGCTCAATGTGTACCAGCTTCTGCAAGTTTTCCTGGGGGAGAGAAACAGCATTTAATAGATTGCATGGCGACTGTTCTTTAGACAAGCAGGCAAACTTCCCTCACCCTTTCCCACCATTTTCTTTCTCTGAAAGTGGTATTACAGAATTAGATTTCAGAGAGAACTGAGACCAGGGATTTTACACGCAGAAAGTCTTCCAGCCCTACAGGTTTTGTAAAACCTCATCACCCGCATTCACATCTGCCATGGCCCTCTACAGTCCTGTTACCTCTGATACCTCAGTTCATCTTCAAAAGGGCCTGCTAACTCCATATAGTATTTATACATTGGCCTCTTTGCTGACTTTCTTGTTCTGGGAACTAATAAAATGGAAGCAGAGGCAAAGTACAGTATCTGCTCCAAAGGCCTGTGTATTAGTGGCCTGACATGGATAATCCAAAGCATGCTTTGATAGTCTAAGACTGTTGCTAGGATTATCTGGAGGTTTATATTCTGTGATAATTGATTAATGGCTTTGCAGTAGGAGATTTAGAACGTTAACTAGTAAGCAGGCAATGAAGCTGCATCTCTCTTTTGATGCATTGCAAAAATCAGGAATATCATTATCAAACTCTGATACTATTAACTCCCTACCTGGTCTTAAAGCACAGAGAGTCAGTGGGCACTGGCATGTGGCATGAACTCATCTATGAGGATGGTAAATAAGATTAATGTAGCTAAGCCTGGTCTTTCGTTAAAAAAGATGGTATTGGATGAATATACAAAGGAGGAAGAAGGGATGTCTGTACCTTTGCAATATTGCTAACAGTCTTTTCAAATCTCCTCCCATTTAGCAGGTCAGGCTGCTAAAACCGAGGCTTGTACATAGGATTCAGCTGTGGTTTTATCGGATCAGAACAGTAGAATGGGCTGCACAGCAGCAATGAGTCATCACTGAAATATGTTTAAAAATTAGGAGTCTCTTGCCTAAGTTATCCCTTGTATCCTAAATCCTCAGTTACACTCCCAGATAAACTGCAGACTAAGGACCATGTTTGATACAGCTTCATGACCTGGCAGCCTTTAACTACAGTTTTCTGCTAAAGGTAGCTATCTGTTTTCCTGTGCTCCATTGACTGGCATTAAGATACCCCTGGGCTTAGTTAGACTCAGTTAGATTGTACAGTTTATCTGCCTGATACAAATCAGTGCTGTCTACAGAATCAGCTAATTAAGAAACCTATCACAGATACCAGAAGGAGCATATCCATGTCAACGTGATGATCTGTCAAGGCTAATTTACCCTGGATTTCAGCTAACACAATTAATGTACCTGTCTCAGCTTCTTTTTGAGATAAGCCTGAAGTACATTGTATGCTACTGCCTTGGTGAAATATTACACTTGTTTAGCATGATAGTAGGTTTAGTTCTTAATTAGTAACTCCATATCAAACATACGGAAACACCTACAAGCCGTGACCAGCACAGGGCTGCGTTGTGACCATGGAATATAACTGTCAGTTGACACATTTTCAAGAATTTCAGCCATCAAGTATCTTTTTTGCAAGGAAGTAAAAAATGGAATTTTTCAGGTCGCTTCTAAAAAGCTATAGGCCAGCAAAATGGAAACAGAATGTATAAACTAATAGCACAGGAAATACCAGGGATCATGGGACAGCTGACACTTGCAAAAGACATTTACAAAGGGCTTTCTCATCACTCAAGGGTATTTTAGCCCTGGCAAAAATTGTCAAACTGACAGCTTCCACAATGGAAACCCATTCTTCACCCGCTGAAAAGGCAGTGCCCTCCTGCGAGCACACTCATGGCCAGTGCTAGCACTACCCACTGGGGTTTCTACAAAAGTGAGAGAAGTTGCTGCAGCGCAAATACACCTCAGCTTTTCTTAGGACTGCTGGCAGAGGCGCCTGTTGTAATGCTGATGTTTGCAGTATGGACACATGTTCACCAGGAAATGGACAGAGATGTATCAAATTCATTTCCTGTAGGAAGTCAAACGGCCACCACATGTGAAGGACAGTGATTTATCGGGAATGCAGGCAGCTGAGGGGGGTGTAGTTTCTCTACAGTTCCCCTAAAATTCCCTGTTTATGTAGTTTTCTTCATTCTCCTTAAAACTGTCATCATTCTGCTTTCAAATATCCTTCACAAGCTGTGATTAAAAAATGAAAACAAAGCTCCACCCAACTAGTATTGCAGATGTGGTGGCTGAAATCCTTCTCTGGCCATTTTAGCAGTGAACTGCAGCTTCCATCATATTATCATTATGTCTGTGCAGGAGGAACGCCTCCCCAAGGAATTCACCAGCTGTTAATAGCAACAATGATTTATAGCATCTTGGCATCTCAAGGCCTCTAACAGATTGTAGAAGTTCAGAGAGCAATACAAACTCTACTTAGTTCAAGTAGTGAATGTCTACTAGAGTTACAGATAGACTTAATGCTATGCAGTGATGGTATGCCTTAGATCTCTGTTTGCACATCTGTAAATTGCAAATAATATTTTCCTACTTGATTAAAATGCTGTGGAGATAGTTAATATGATAATGCATCTGAAAATCCTGGGTTAATAGTTCCCAGGGAAAAACTGCTAGAGTGTTACCATAAAACAAAAAAGCTAATAATGAAACATTGATATTCTGCAGAAAATGTAGATCATAATTCAATGCTCCTGTCAGATTTTTGGAGTTTTCGTCTGATGAGTTGATAAGTGGCAGCAGAAATCTTTCTCTTTCCAGATATCTGCCAACCCTAAATTATTGCTTAGAACTTCAACCAAGTACATGACAAGTTATTAACGCTCTTATCTTTAGTGGCATTGGGCAGTTTGTTCTGTAATTAGAGTAACTTCTTAAATTCTTTGCATTTTTTAAGATCTGAGAGAACAAAAAGAACTGCTCATTGTGGCTTTTGTGGATGGCATATTAATTCAGGAGGACAACCTGTGATTTAGCAGAATATTGAACTTTGATTCTCACAAACCTGCACCTTCACAAAACCCACAGCATTTACACAGATGGGAAAGAAGGAAATTTTGTTTCATCTCTTCCAGGCCACAGCTCTGAAAAAGAGCAGATGTGCTCTGATGATATGGTAAAAAATGAAGTGTAAAAATCTATGTGAAATTGTTCCAAACCAGACATTTTTAATAGCAATTATTATACAGTCTGTGACATCTGTAAAACTCAGATGATATGGTGATATTTTTCAAATTAAAGCATGGCTTACTGGAGATAAAATCATTACGTGGTAATGCAACACAGCAAATTTGATTTGGCCACTTATGTATACTATCTTCAGAAAAGTATTCATACAAGTCTCCCGTAAATCTGAGTGAAATCTAAGGAAGCAGAGGAGCCAGAAAAAGATGTGTGACCTTGAGCTGTTAGGAACAGCTCTTACAATTCTCAATTTCTAATACAGGTATTCCTAAAGTTCTGAAACTGTGGAAGCTGTTCCTGAGATCTCAGTTTTATGACGAAATATTTATTATTTTGATACAAAGAATGCTTTAGTAATGGGAAAATACGATTATAAATTCTTTGCCTGAGGAGAAAGAAAATCAGAATCAAACCTGTTGAAAACTTTGCTCAGTAAGTCTGTAGTTTCAGCGTCATTGTTTAGAGGGGCCAGATTACATTTCTTTTTATGATAAAACTCTAGGCTTGTTAGACCATATCCTCCCTGCAATCCACATCTGTTCTTTTGTCTTGGTAACAGAATAGTGTTTATGTAGTAATTAACTACTGGGTGTTGCTGTCAATGCTGAATATCACTCAAAATTAGTCTGTATGAACATTATTGTTTCCATGCATCTTGCTTTTCTGTTATGCTTCTTTCTTTCTCCTTTCTCCTCCTTCACCGTTACGTTTGGCTGTAATGCAACTACCATTTCATCTGCAAAGACTTCTCTCCCAACTTTTCTTCCCATCCTGTCTACTGTAATGGCTGATGACAAAATAGTTTGTGCTGATACGCAAAGTATCTTTAAATAAAGCTGAGAGTAAGCAACCAAAGAGATCAGTGTAGCTGATAATTTGCACTCAGCAAAGGTGTTGAAGCCGTCTGCTTGCTGAAGCAGTGTGCTGCTTTGTTTATGCATGATTCATGTTTGGAACTTTTCCTTAGTAGTCAGTAGGAGTAAAAAATGTGCTGTCTTTAAAATGAAGGTTTGAAGGTTTGGGGTTGTCACAGAGCCACATCAACACAGCAAACAGGTTGATATTGTATGAAGGGGGAATGTGTTCTGACACAGATGTGCTGGGATGGGGCTGGCGGTGGAGAAGCTTGGAGCATAAGAGCAGAAATGGACTTAAACCAAATCCACAGGTCCAAGCTTTTTTAAGTTTGCACTGAGTGAAAATGCAGATCTGAATTTTGAGTTTTGACCTTAAAACCCTTGAACTTCAGAATGCTCAGAATCTTGATCTGTTGTCATGGCTTGACATCTCTCTGCACAAAACCAGAAACCTGCCAGTTGGACTTCCTGTTGATCTGTGGTAATTTTGCCACTGGCTTCAGGAGAAGCAGGTTCAGAGCCTCAGTCTCAATTTCTAACTGTCAGATGGGGAAGGAGACAGATCCACAAAGACAAGTTTCTCTATTCAGGAAATAGTTTTAACTACAACTTTTCCCTTTCTGATACAAATATTCAAAGGCTTGGGTTTTGTCTGTCACTGGCCATTAGGAGATCATCACTGGACTTGGTGCTCTGAAATAGTCCAAGAACACACTGGCTCCATTTATGACCTTGGCACACATATCAGAGGCAGGCTTTTAAACTTGAGCAGCAGAGATTTCCAGATGTGAGCAAAAGTTGACACTCTTGGCTCTTGAGTTCATTTGCTGCACGCAGATGCTTCCACTTCTCTGAACAGAGTGTGAAAGCTTCAGTTTTAACAGATGAAGGACACCTTGGGTTTTGAGACTCTTTTCATTCTTACCTCCCAAGCTGTTGCAAAAAACCACCTTCATCTGGTTGACCTACTGCGTTTTTACCATGTTACACAGTCTGAATTCACTGCCTCACCCAGTGTTTCCGTTCCCCTGCAGCCAGAGGGCAAAGGTGTTAAAGAGAATATGCTGAGTCAGCAGTGCTGGTGTGTAGCTGTAGTGGCCTCCAGCGTGTGCCTTTCCCTAACAATTCCTTTGTATTCATTCTCTCTGCCTTGAAATCCTACCTGAAAACAAGCTCTTACTAAGAAGGTTAATATTTCGTTTCTTTCCTTTGTCTGCATTCATGCTCAGGTGTTTTTTCGCTTTGTCTCTTGAATTTTGTGTTTTGATGCCTGAGCAATTATTAACAACCCTCTCTCTGCTCAGTAAATGAAATAATGAAGAGGTGAATTGAATGCCATCTGTAGTCAACCATACGGAAGGATGTTTGCAATGCCAAAGAGATCTTCAATTTCATAGAATCACAGAATCCCAGGATGTTAGGGGTTGGAAGGGACCTCGAAAGATCATCCAGTCCTACCCTCCTGCCAGAGCAGGACCACCCAGAGTAGGTCACACAGGAACGCGTCCAGGTGGGTTTTGAAAGTCTCCAGAGAAGGAGACTCCACAACCTCTGGGCAGCCTGTTCCAGGGCTCTGTCACCCTCACAGTAAAAAAGTTTTTCCTTATGTTACTATGGAACCTCCTATGCTCCAGCTTCTACCCATTGCCCCTTGTCCTATCGTTGGCCATCACCGAGAAGAGCTCAGCTCCATCCCCCTGACACTCGCCCATTACCTAGTTACAAACATTGATGAGGTCACCCCTCAGTCTCCTCTTCTCCAAGTTCAAGAGACCGAGCTCCCTCAGCCTTTCATCATAAGGGAGATGTTCCACCCCCTTAAATTTAACAAAGGCACAGAAAATCCCAATGCAGGATGTTAAATTCAGCAATGTTCAAATGAGACGTAAAATGTGAAAGCTTCCCCAAAAATACGATACATTCCCATTCGCTTGAAATCCTTGTGACTCAATGCAATGATAAAATACTTAAGATGAGACACCTTTTGAGAAAGAAACACCACAAGGTAACCACTTGCTATTGCATGAAATGCAGGATGCCTGGAATGAGGTGCTTTGTTCTCTAACACGCATGCTGTTGAACACAAACCACATAATAGCCAACATCTTCCTTAGCAACTGCACGTACTCCTTGGTAATCTAAATGCCTTGAAAAGAAGTACTTAAAAATGGCATTTTTTTTTTAATTTTGAGCTGTATTATGACTATTTTCTAGGTCTACCCAGCTTAGCTTTTTATCATTAAAAGAAATGTAATCTGGCCACTCTACAGAATGACTCTGAAACTACAGACTTACTAAGCAACATTTCATTAGACTGTGAAGACTGTAGGTTGTTCTTTCGAACTACTTGAGCTGAATGCTAGGTCTGTGCGGCTAAAGCAAACACAGACCTCAGGAGAGAATTGAGCTATAGGTGTGGGTGGCTAGTATGACAAAAAGAAAGGCACTGCCTTTAGTTATCACCTAGAGGTCCACCAAGTTGAATTCCTCTAGAAACTGCTGGATCCTGGGTCTGACAGTCTCTCTACTGCCTCCAGTGCCTCCCAACACTGCTTCTTACTGATGTCAGTAGAAAACTCCTACCATCTTAGACAAAAATCAGACCTAGATCCTTGGAAACAAATGATCATAAGACCAGCTATATGCAGGCTATCTTTGCCAGTAACTTGGGACTGTAATATCATGTAAGCAATATTAATAAATCACACTGACCTTACAGAAACTGTTCATTACTTTGGAAAACTATATAACTTATTTAGATACCAAATTCTGAATTTGGATATGAGCTCTAACCTATGAAAGTCCTATTTGGTTATGTGATCATTTTCAAGAGTATAAACCTATTTGGTTGTGTGGTAATTTGCAAGACTATAAATTATGACCTTTCTTCTGAAGTAAAATGGGATTCCAGAATTGTGGAAAAATTATGTAAATGAGCTCAGAATGTATCTTTGACAGTATATTTGTGGTGTCTTCAGCATTTCATATCTAAAAACATCCCAGGCTAGAAATAGAACCATGAAAATTCCTGTCTCTCGCTTCATTGCTCCGCATACCATTTCAGCAACACCAAGAGGGAAAAAAATCTTGTGCTGCTTGCTAGGGTGACTTACATCTTGCACAGCTCCACTAAAGGACATAGACCTACTCCAAATCTGCAATACTCTAAACCAGATCTGTGTGAAACTTTGAGTCTCACCCTGGAGGAGGCTTCAGAATTTAGCAGAGATATGTAGTCACTTCAGCAAATCAGCAGAAAAGACTCTTTATCGATCAGGAGAGCATATATCATGGTAGGACTCACCGCTTGGATCATGCTGTCATTAGCTCGGTCAGTGATTTCAGAAACAATGAATAAGGCAGCTGAGGGATGAAGCAAAACAAACACTATAAATCACATAAAAGAGTAGGAAAACAACCCAAATCCCTTCTGTTTGCAAGGGCATCTTTCAAAAAAAAGCAAACAACATCCCCAGCAGCAGCTCCTTTAACTTCTTTGGCACCTTCAGAATGCAACTGCTCGGCACAGTGCTGTCAGTTCCCCTTCCCTTCATCATTCTCTTTCATCGAAACTCTGCATTATACTTATGCTGACCAAGAGAGCTCATGAAGTCCCTTTTAAACATCTAGCATGGCACAAAATCTTTTTGTGATGTTTTCTAGTTGCGGATTTTTGACATTTGAAGCTTGTGGTAGGGAGGGATTAATGTAACCGACTTTAGCCATCCAAAAGCATGGCAGTCTAAGGTGATCTGTTTCCCTTACTGGTGAGGGAGAGGGCAGGTCATCCCTTTCTGACAGAAGTGTGTGTGAAGCGTTGACATGAATTAACACCTGGATTCTCCACTGTCAAATAACCTGAGCCAGGGCATGTTTGCTGGCTCAGAGTGGTGGCATAACATAGCTCAGGCCCTCATCTCAAATCTCTTCCCCATTTTATCCATTTCTGGGCATAATCTGGGAGCATGCGAGCCATCACTGTCCGGAAATGTGACAAGTGTGTGCTAACCACAAATAAGACAGGCAGTTGTGGCCACAGGGCTTGAGCATTGGCCCTGGCCTTGTTTAAATAACTGTAGTTATTTAAGCTGTAGTCCCACTATCAGTGACTGGGGTCCTAAATCTTGCACAAGACTGTACTCTTGGTCAGAACAGACTGACCTTCAGTCGGTCGCAAACCTTATTGCTATGAGTTGGTTTGGGTTTACACTCAGTGTAACAGAGAGGTGAACTTGTTTCATTAATACAATTTTATTCCTGCTTACTCCAGCCTGGAAGCTACTCCCACTGAGGCCACAGCTAAACCTTGCTTTGACTTCAGTGGCAGTAAAAGACTTCTGCTTCATCCATCTGATGTGTTGGAAAAAATGGTGTTAACAGTTGAACATCTGGGTTTGTTCTCGATTGTGCAGAACTGATTTTTATGCAGTGTCTTTCAAGTTTACTTAGGCTTAAGGAATCCAGAATAGAGATTCATGAGTCAAACCTCCTAGGCGTCTCCAAAGTTCACAGAGCACAGCAGGCATACCACAGATAACGGTACACAAACAAGCAAGTGGAGCCATCCCAATTGTCTTTACAATAACCAGGCCAAATATGGATGGAGCCAAAGAGGACTAGGATTTCCCCAGTGACTGGAGCAGAACTACAATATCTGCACCACGCTTGTATAATTTCTTCTTCTGTAAGTTCATCATGTCAAAACTATGGGAAGGCCACATATTTCAATGAAAAAAAAGATAGGGTTCTTGCCCTAAGTAATTAGTCTAAGTTAGTAATCAGTTCTTGTAGATCTTACATCTAACCTATTAACACAAAATCTTGAAAATAATCCTCTTCCATAACTCTTTAGAAGCAGAGTTAGCAAAGCAGAATTTTTGTGCTACTCATTTCATTTTACCTTGTGTGGCTTCATACTCTGTAGAATCAGGGCAAAGATTATTCAAGTAATCTGTAAAAAAATAATCGAACACACAGAGACATCCAGTAATCAGAATACAGATCCACATAATTTGTAGTGTTATTAGCTAAAACATAAAATCCTAATCATAGAATCATAGAATGGTTTGGGCTGGAAGGGACCTTAAAGACCATCCAGTTCCAACCCCTGCCATGGACAGGGACACCTTCCACTAGACCAGGTTGCTCGAAGCCCCGTCCAGCCTGGCCTTGAGCACTGCCAGGGAGGGGCATCCATGGTAATGTCCCATATCACTTTATTCCCAGATAATTAAGTGCATATAGCATCTTTCCAAAGCAAAACTCATCTTTGACTGCATTCTACTTTGAGAATCAATGCAAGAGCATTGATACAGATTTGGACTTATCCCATAACTTGGCAGGTGTAAACGAAAAAACAAGAGTGACAAAAATATTTCCTTGTTTCTCAGCCAAGAGAATTGCTGAGTAGCACCACTTTACAAAGAATTATTCTTCTAAGGAACTTGTATTTTCCCATCTGAATGAATGATGTTGGCTGTAATGACTGATTTTCTATACTGTAAATGAATTATATGCATTTTATAGATAGAGGAAGTAGACTCTGGTTTTGTACATGCAGAGTTCAGTGATTACTACTGAACTCAATCACATTCTGAAAATATGTTCTGCAAAATACACACAATAGGACTTAACATTTACAGGAATGATATTTGCATTATATACAAATGCTCAACCTGTCAGTTTTATTTGGACTACTTGGCTTTGATCACCTGTCTGTTCTTTGTCTGGATCCTTATGCTTTTAATGACTGTAGTATTTGAGTGCCACCATTTTAAAAGCCTAATCCTGAAATACTTCATTCTTATCTTTCTGATGAATCCAGGCTCCTAAATTCTGCATCCAAGAACTAGGCCTCTGTGCTGAAAATGGTGCTGTGCATGGGTAGGATATTCCCTCCAATGTCCTATCCATATTCGTTTTCTAGTGCTGTGCCCTCCCTGGCTTACCAAAATCTACGTGGCTTTTACGTACAGTCAAGAAAGCGTCTGCCTGTACCCAGTCAAGCAGGAAGGGGTTGTGCGGTGTTACCAGACAATGTTTAGCATTCCTTTTCACAGCTGCAAGCTTTGTCCTTGGTTATGGACATTTAACTGAGTGGGCAACTCCTTTTGGCTGTAGTGCAGTCATTGGCAACCAATGTCCTCCTAAAATACCCTTCCTTATCTGGTAGAAACAGCCAGTTACGAACACACAAGTTCACCTGCATATTTTAATTTTTTTTTTACGCTGTTTAGAGAATTTGAAGGACTACACTGTTCCAGACCCACTCTGACCTAGCAGGCAAAGAAGCGCTTTGTTTCTTGAAGAACTGAAGCAGTAAACCTGTTTTCTCGAATATCTTAATCCAGCAGACTTTATCTCGCTACCCACAAAAGCTTTCATTTTCCCAGTTAGTGCCAGTACCAAGGACAAGGAAGAGCTCAAGTTGCTTGAAGCGTAGATGGAATCCAATCGCTGGAGGTGCACTGAAAGCCTTCCAGCTCTCTCACAAAATACTATGCTTCGTGTTTGCAATCTACCTTGTGGACCACAGAAATGGGCAGAGAAAATGGGAGCATACTGGGGGTATTTCTGACAGGGACACGCCAATTCCTTTTTCTTAGATGCAGTATTTTGTGTACATGCACTAAAACACTGTAAGGATCATGTGAGACTACTAAATACTGCAACTCACAGGTCTGGAAATTTGCCCTTGATGTAGACACACCCAGAGAGGGATGCAAGTCAGACAGAAAAAAAAGTCCTACTATTGGCATCCACTGTTCGTTTGTATTGCTCGTACTAAAAAAGCAAAACCAGCTGTGAATAATAAGTTGCATCCTTGATCGAAGAGTCTGGAGCAAGATGAAACTGCTGCTAATCTGTGCTGTGAATAAAAATTTCACATGGTAACTTTGTACTGCTGCATTTATAGGAGTCCCTTCTAATATGCTGTGCCCTTCATCGGCTGTTGAGTATGGGCAGGGTTTATGGCTTCCTTTTTACTGTCCCACACATAACTCATCTTGCATCCTTCTCTACCCACACATACACATACTCCCAAAGCATTTCTTCATCTTTATATTTACGGATCCTGGCTCTCTTGTGTTCCAATCTGACTAAGTTACATGACAACATTGAGATTCATTTTTACATTTCGCCATTTCCTTCCCCGACCAATTCATTAGTTGCAAACCTAAACGTGACAGTTCTTTCTAGTGGCCACATCCTTCTTCAGAAAGCTTGGTCCCCTCACAGGCTCAGACTTGCTTGCTAGATTTGCTGTGGTTTGCAGAGAATGGGCCACCAGAGGGAACACAACCACCCTTGGAGAGAGTCCGGGTGGGAGTGATACATATGGTTCCAAATGTAAAAGGAAGGTGTTACTGTAAATCTAAAATCTGTACATGTTCTGTTAATGTAAATTTGGATCTCTGCCTCCTGCAATGCAGAGAAGGTGGGCTGGGATTTTGACTTAAACTTATCACTAGCCTCAGGTGTACTGTACAAAGGGCTTAGGGTGTGGTACTGGGTGCAACTGCTTTGTTGATGGAGTAGGAGATAGTGCTTACCACTGTCATACAGGATGCAGTGCAGAGTCCCCTTGCTGGGGACTGCTGTCCCCTACCGTCTCTGATAATTGCCCTTGACATAAATAAAATCAAACCTGTTTGCTGGCAGTGAGGCTGAACCCTGCACCTTTCACAGAAGGAAAAAGGAAAGAAGGAATGGCTAAAAGCACCTGAATTTACACTTTTTTGTGACCTTTCAGCATGATTGTGCTGAAGAAGTGTCTACTTTCAGGCTCCCTGACACTTCCTGAATCCTGTACTAAGCATACTGAAGTTCTGAAGTGCTTCAGCCCTATTTTAGCTGCCTTGGCATCAATGCGTGGCACAGTGGAGGCACAGAACATCATGGGAGGGTTTCCATTGAGTACCTTTGAGAGTGATTTTACTGACCTGTGAGCAGCACACGATACTGGAAGACACGCTGCACCACTTTCAAAAGCTGGTGTTTCACACTCTGAGGGCTGCCACCAGAGCTCTGCTGTCCTCAATGGAAAGGAAACACAAAGATCAGGGGTGTGTGAGCTCAGCAGCAAACTGTCATCTCCACCTGCTGTGTACTATGAAAGTTTGCTACCAGTTGCATGCACAAATTCCATTGAACAATTCACAACTTACCCACCTTGCTAGGAGGTATTGTCTTTGTGACTATAAAGAAGTACTGTAAACAGTTTATTTCCTATGGCATCATTCACAAATAGCTTAGACTCAGAGGGAAAAGTGAGGAAAGCGAATACCATTTAGGAGGTAAAGGCTGGATCAAGATTTTAGGGTGGCATCTGAAGACAGAGGTATCAGATCTCATTGAAGCTTGTCATTGTTCCTTTCTTGGACTGAAAGTTTCTTCTGCCTGCAACTTTTTAGTATCTTATTTCAAGACATGGAATTGACTAAAATATAGCAAAGCATCTCCCCATGATTGAGTTGGAACTGAATGTCCAGAGAGCATTTACAAGAAAATAAACTGAGGTTGTGATCTGATTTAACACACACATGGAAAAGAAGTAGCATTTTTCTCTTTACATTTACCCCTTAGATTCGACCCATTACATTTCACCACAGATCAGGCCCAGTCAGCATGGGTTTATGAAAGGCAGGTCCTGCTTAACTAACCTGGTCTCCTTTTATGACAAAGTGACCCACTCAGTGGATGAGGGAAAGGCTGTGGATATTGTTTACCTGGACTTTAGTAAAGCCTTTGACACTTGTTTCCCACAGCATTCTCCTGGAGACACTGGCTGCTCATAGCTTGGATGGTTGTACTCTTCGCTGGGTGAAAAACTGGCTGGATGGCCGGGCCCAAAGCGTGGTGGTGAATGGAGTTCAATCCAGTTGGTGGCTGGTCACAAGTGATATTCCCCAGGGCTCAGTATTGGGTCCAGTCTTGTTTAATATCATTATTAGTGATCTGGATGAGGGGATTGAGTTCACCCTCAGTAAGTTTGCAGATGACACTAAGTTGTGTGGGAGTATTGATCTGCTTGAGGGTAGAGAGGCTCTACAGAGGGCTCTGGACAGGCTGGATTGATGGGCGAGGCCAATTGTATAAGGTTCAACAAGGCCAAGTGCTGGAACAAGGCCAAGTACTGGATCCTGCAGTTGGGTCACAACAACCCCATGCAGCACTACAGGTTTGGAGATGAGTGGCTGGAAAGCTGCCCAACAGAAAAGGGACTGGGGATGCTGGTCGAGGTGGCCAAGAAGGCCAACAGCATCTGGCCTATGGCAGAAATAGTGTGGCCAGTAGGAGCAGGGAGGCGATCGTGCCCCTGTACCCAGCACTGGTGAAGCTGCATCTCGAATCCTCTATTCAGTTTTGGGCCCCTCGCTACAAGAAAGACATTGAGGTGCTGGAGTGTGTCCAGAGAAGGGCAATGAAGCTGGTGAAGGGTCTAGAGCACAATGGGGAGTGGCTGAGGGAACTGGGGTCATTTAGCCTGGAGGAAAGGAAGCTCAGGAAAGGAGGCTGTAGCGAGGTGGGGGTTGGTCTCTTCTCCCAAGTAACAAGCAATAGGATGAGAGGAAATGGCCTCAAGTTGTGCCAGGGGAGGTTTAGATTGGAGATTAGGAAAAATTTCTTCACTGAAGGGGTGGTCAAGCAGTGGAACAGGCTGCACAGGAAAGTGTTTGAGTCGCTATCCCTGGAGGTATTTAAAAGACACAGTGCTTAGGGACGTGGTTTAGTGGCAGCGTTAGGTTTACAGTTGGACTAGATGATCTTAAGGATCTTTTACAACCTAAATGATTCTATTCTATAAGGGCTCAATTAAAACAGGAAACTTGCTGTATATCTGTTAAGTGTCACAACATTGCTGCAAAAACAATAGCAGCCACAAAACTCAGTCCTCAGAAGTCTCCACATCTCCAGTGACACTAAGAAACAGAAGCTTACAGGACCCGAGAGGGGTGGCACAAAACCCTGCTGGTTCCTTAGAAGGTCTGAGTCCAAAACCCAGTCGAGTTTCACAGTGTTTCAGTGTTCATTGACCAACATTTCTGAAGTGTTTGCCACTCGTGAAGGGACAAAAGATGAAAAGTAATCTAACTGTTTAAAGGAAGGCTGGCAAAAGACAGCAATTCCAAGGTAGTAGAGATGTTTCATGTTACTGTGTTACTCCCCTAACTGGCTGACTAGTCTCATCAAATGTGCATTCAGAGTTGTGCTGAGCATTCCCAGTCCCTCATACTTAAGTCACAGGTGCCAGAAACAAAATGAGGCCTCAAATTCTGTGTTGTCAGACTGGAAAACTGATAGTGGTCATGCTTTAAAAAATGTAATAGGAAAAGACTGAGAGACACATCCCCCTCATTTGTGTGTGTGTGTATGCATCCAAGTGGGCAAGAAGTTACAGAGCTCACTGATTCTAGGGCAAAATCTCTTCATAGGAAAAGCCTCATCTGCTTTCTTAGAAATAAGAGCTAATTCTTAAGGTTGATAATTAAGACAGAAGTGTACAGGCATGTGGCTGGGAGGGATGCTGGGAATACAGGCTCTCAGTAGAAAGCCTGCATTTGCCAAGTTCATGTTCAGAGCAGTGTGAGCCATCAGAGTTCCCCTCAGCTGCTAACAGGAAATAATTGTGACTGCAAGGTATCTGTAAATGCTGGCTTCCAAATGTCTTTAGAAATTAATTTTTATCCTTAGTATTTCACGTGTGCTGGGGAGAAAAACACCATCCATACCCCATAGAGCTGGCATTCTAAATAACCTTTAAGGTCCAGTCACTAGTTTATCCTTACAGTCCCTCTGCTGCCCAAGTAAACATTGTTATTTCTCTTACCAAATAAAGATAAAAAGAAACAGGGGTTCTAGACCCTCAAGAAAGCAGCGTAGCTTTTAATCATTTTAGCTCAATTGAGTCAGTGTAGCGCAACTGAACTTTCCCATCCACATATGGGTTTATGCTTTTGAAATTATGTGAAGTGGCCGCATTAGCAATACTTTAAAATGTGATTAGGAATCGTGGAATTTCTGTCACATGTATCTTGATGGTGTTTTTCAGTTGTTCAGCACAGATGACTGAGTTAACACAACTGGAAAATACGTGTTTCTTGGTACAGGGCCAGAGGTTGCAAGCCTAGAGGTTACAGACCATTCAGGGAGCCTAGATGAAAAGAACCCTGTATGTGTCTGGCCAGTGAAGTTGGTGTCTTCCTGTGCCATTCAGTGTTGCCTGTCACAACATCCTCTGTAAACAGAGGAAGCAGTTAACAGGCATTTAAAAATCAGAGAAATGCAATTGTAAAGATGCTGTTGGTTGATCACTGCCAGCAACTAAGCACCTGTACAGGCTAATCCTTTCATCCTGGCCAGACCCAGTACAAAAGAAAGGCTGGAAAATGCAGTGAAAGAAAAGAAGACATGATGAGATGGAAATAATCGTTATTAACTCTAACACATCCTCAAAGAGCTTGATAAGTTAATATGTGACTGAGAAACTACTCCAGTATGTGCATGTATTTCAGCAAAATATGCTCACGGATCTGTAGATTCACAAACATACATTCTGTATGCATACACAGGGGTGTATGGGCAACAGACACAGTCAAGGAAGCAGAAACACATCGTGCACATGTGAGTATCTCACTTCAGTTTGAGCACCAGGATGTGTGAAGAGAGCTATTCTCCCATTCTACCCTCTGTGAACACTAGTGGAGTTGCAGAAGAAATATCTTTGGGTAAGCCCTGTGGCACAACCATGCATTAGTGCAGCTAAAAAAACATGGGAGCCTTACCTCAAACTTCTGAATTATGGTAGCCAGTTGGGAATATTTAAGGCAAGTTTCATCTAGCAAAGCCAAATTCCTGTCAAACTGCATAATATATGCTGTGTGGTGATTCAGCCTTGATTTTCTGGAGAGAAAAACATCAGCAACTTTCTGGTGTTCCTCCCTAAGACCACAGAAGAAAAGAAGCAGCAAATAAATGAATAAATAAATACTAAAGAAGAAAAGCCATACTTCTGTCTTACTGTATTAGACCCACAGTAGCCACGGGCGTTGTGCAGCTAAAGTCTAGGTTAAATGTCAGGAAAGAGGCAGTGATTCACTGACATACTGGGCAACAAAACAGGCTGCTGTAGAATGGGCACCACGAGAGGCTGATCCTTCAGCTGTGCATTTGCCATGGCAGCACTGTGTGTCTGCAGTGGGTAGAATGTCTCCTTTCTGGACACAGCTTCCACTTCTCTAAACAGACTTTTCAGCTGCTGCAGTGCTTTGAGCACTGGTTGTGGGGGATAATATAACATCTTCAGTTGTAATATCGTATCTCCAGCTCTCCTTCATTGCCCCCTTCTCAGCACTGCCCCACCAGCATCTGTCTCAGCACTCAGTTGCACAGTATTGAAATCTTTTCGAGGCGTATACAAAGAAAGAACAGAACAAAATCTGAGATAACAAAAGAGTAATCGTAGTTGAGAGGAACATGAGTTTCTGGGGATGTCAGAGCAACAGAGTGTCTAGGGGAGTGCAGGCACAGGGAAGGACTTATTGGACAGTTCAAGGGTGGTGGTGACCTGGGAAGCTGTGGGAGCACAGCCTTATACCATGTGTCATTCTGTTGTGTTGGCAGCACTTCCAGTACAGCCCTCTTTTTTCCCCAGTGCCGCAGAGGAGTTCTGGACCTAAGAGGAACCTTAGGGCACTTCTAGTTGTGTTCCTTTTCTCTCAGGGAACAGGCTGCATGCTGCTAGAGTAAGGATATGACTCATTTAGGACACACGTAAATTTATATTCCAGCTGGAAACACCACTTCTGTTTGTGTTATGAGTGTATAAATCATAAATCATTGATGAACTTTATTAAGTCTTCCTGCCATTTGTAACAGTCCGTTAGTGGGCACGAACCAATACACAGTTCCCTTTAGCCTTTTCTTTCCTTGTTTTGTGCACTTAAAAGTGCAGGACTGACAAGGGGAGCTGTGCCCTGCACCTAGGATTGTTACTGAAAGTTCTCCTGATCTAATTGACTTCTTAACAGCTCAGTGGCAGTGATGGGATAGGATCAGCCACTGTCCGTAACCACTGTCTCCTGGAGTCCAGCAGTGTAGAGATGCAGGGTTGCAAGGTCCATCATAAACTGTCAGAGCCAGAGTAATCCAGTCTAGGCCAGGGGCTGTGCTGGCTACTGGACATTTATTCAGCTTAGATCTGCAGTGGTAATTTCTCTTACCCATTCTTATTCCAGCAGTTTATGGAATATAGACTAGGGCCTAGCAGCCTGGCTTAAGTCAGAGGTCTCCTTAACTGAATGAATTTTGGAGTTTTGTCTGTCCTAGGCATGGTCTTATTCTCTCTAAGCATGTTTGGCTTAGGTGGAGTTCCTCAGCAGGCTGACAGTGTCTGTTTGGCTTGGAAGCCTAGCCTGTGCAGAGTGCTGCCTTGGTGCTGGGAGTGAGGGGGTGTCCCTTATCTGAGAACTACACAGTTGCTGTGTAGATTTCTGTAAGCAGATGATCTTCTTTAAGATCAATTCCAATGTGTTCTGTTCCTGCCTCCCATGGCATGCATGAGTCTGTGACCTTCAGGCTATGACTGTGAAGCTGCTTGGTGATGACTATGAACTGGCATCAGAGGATAATGCATATGAAGCAGGCTGTCCTCAGTGACTGAGTGGCTGTGCAGTGCACAGATGTTTCAGTATTTGGTTTCTTAGCCTGACAGCCTCTACATTTGCTTCCTTCCTGCCTGTATGCAAAATCTGCCAAAGTAGTTCAGGTTCTATTCCTTTCATTTCTGCTGTAATCCCAGCCTCCCTGCTAGTGGGGTCGAGGGAACACTGACAAGTTCACCCACCTGCTGTGGAGGGTATGTTAAGGCCATCGAACCATGCCATTCCATACTTACCATTTAAGTATTCTTTCTTCCAGTTCTCCCAGGATGTCTTGATGTAATTCATAAATTTCAGGGATTTCACTTAAGCCTTGCTTGAGTTTAACTTCTTTCTGTTCATTTTCATCTTCTCCAAGCACTTTCAAGATACCTTCATAGAAATCCTGTGAACAACAATACAGAAATTAGGCAAACAGACTTGAAGTCTCTTTTCTGAAATTATCATTACAATTTCTTGACTAAACTATGCTTTCTAGGAATTATAAGATATGCCATCAATAGTGATAGAGAGTGCTCAGTACAGCAAGGAGCATATAGCATATGTTTTCTTCCATCTATTAGTTCATACACGTTTTCAGCTGAATTTTCCACAATGCCGTCAGCCCCAAGTGGAACTTTTCTCCTGACCAAGCCATCAGACCCTTATGCATACAACGAGATTGCATACAACAACATTGCAAACTGTGGCAATGCACAACACAACAAGGCAGGAAAGCTGATGCTGTGCAGAGGCATAACTAATGCTTCACTACTGAGTGGCATGAGGAGTGGCATGAGGCAGGTTCCTAACCCAGGGATTCTGGCTGCCTTTGCCAGGAGCTAGGGCACTGTAACTACATGGTTTATTTTCATAGCACTATCTGGTGTTCAAAAGCAGCAGCTTTCATTCAGTAAAATTAAAAGGGTGTGATTTCAGCACCTGCTTCTTCAGTACTGCTACAAGTACAAGTAATTGAAAAGCGTTAGTGTAGTATTCAGCGTTTGCCTGAGGAGGGTCCAGCAGAATGGTTACAGGTTTAATTCTCTTTTTCTGCATCCCAGTAAGCCATGAAGTGCATGGAGTTTTTTATTGCACACGGTGAGGAAAAAAAGGGTGAGAGTGAAAACCAGAGTAAATAATCAAAATAACAGCACAGTAGAGAGGCCACATTAACTGTGAGGTTTGGAAGCTCCCGATGACTCGTTTTGGTGCAGCAGCTGCAGACTAGGAGATTGCAGAGCTTCCTTCCTTATAAAAACACTGTCTGTCCTCATCTGACCTTCCTTTCTTTTTTTGTGTGTGTGAGGGTAAGACTAGGAGATTGCAGCATTGTGTGTTATTGCTAGCCAGCCTACACGTGCTGGTTTTTTTTCCCAGTAAGTACCTTGTGTGTTATTGCTAGCCAGCCTACACATGCTGTTTTTTTTTCCCAGTAAGTACCTCAAATTTGGTATTGTTTTTAAATTCAACAAAAATAGTTGAACGGTGGCTTTGTGGCTGAATATACTTAGATTCCCCGACTTTGAAGCCAGGAGGGACTGTATTGATATGATATGATCAGTATTCCAGACCACAAGACTTACTAGAGTGTAGCATTACTAGGAAAACAAGCAACTTTGATTTAAGACAGAATCTAGCACATGTTATGTATATGCTAACACAGCATCCTGAGAAAAAAAGAGAAGTCGCAGAAGGGGCTTTTGATGATCTCATGAAGGGTCAGGTAGCTCATAACCACATACAAAGCACTAGCACCTAGTCACAGCAGAGCTGGTGTTAAAGCCCTGCTGGCAGACTGTCAGACTACGGCCATCACACCAGGAGTTGTTCTTCCAGCAGGTTTGCACTGAGCTCTGGTTCAGCCCAAGATCTACTGTGAAGGAAAGGTTTAGCATCCGACCAGTCTGGCCAGGTCCATGCTGTGAACATATTTTTTTCACATGCTATTTTGCAAACAGCGAGTTATTATTAAAACCTATGTTTTTTCAAAGATATATTAAAAACATTCTCTGTCTGCCCATAGAAGCCAGTTCATCAGAAAAAAAAAATGCAGCTGCTTTAACAATCGCCGAGAAGGTGATTCTGCTGGGAGAGTTAATAGAAATGGCAGCTAGATTTTTCCACTGAGAGACCATTTCCTGGCCTCCTATTCATCTGTATGTGATGTGGCCAAATGTGCTGTGAAAGGAAGCAGGGGCTTGATAAAAAGAAACCTCTAAGGTCGCACAGCTCATTGAAAGATGCCAAGCTGTTGCTATCCGGCCCTGAACCAGGATGGGATAGGTTGAGGATCTTCCTCTGTCAGGATCTAGTTATCATGAAACATATTGCCAAAAAGTAAAATTCTGTTCCCTGAACTTTTAGGGACAATCTTATGAACTTCCCTGGGCCATACTGGCATTTATCATGACTCTGGTCTCTGTCTAGTTAAGTTTTATGAGTTCAGGGAGTAATTAAGGAGAAGTCTTGATTTCCATGAAGCTTGCTGATGTCCAGGTATGAGCAACTCAACAGAGTATGTTTCACTGGAGATCCATAATTTACATTAGATAGTCCACTTCAGTGTGATTAAATCAAGGGTGCTGTGTTGATTTCAGCATGCTGGGGATCTGGTTGGTATGACTGTAGTCCTGCTGAAAGGTTCTATAAGGAGCAGAGAGCCTCTGGGCGAAGAACTTCAAAATGCCTCTCTCCTCAGCAGCAGGAACTGACTCCAGGCAAGAACAGTTTTAGTCTCCTCAGATTCATTCCTGGCTTTTCTGTTGTAACACTGTCAACTGCAACGTACACACTGGCTCACTATGAACTGGAGTAACTGGAATACGTAACAGATACTAACCAAAAGGAAAGTCACACATACACTATGTTTGTTTAGCAACTATGACAGATGAAGCATTCGTTTTCTGAAAAGCCACTAGAACTAGGTAAAAAAAAAAACAACATGATGACAATTTTCTTTTTGACTAACTATATCCTGGATAAAACAAGATCATAAAAATTTCTGAAAGAGTATTACCGTGTTTCCTAATTATCTGGGTCTGATTTCCACAAAGTGTCCTGCCCCAGTACCACAAGTAATCCCAATGTTGCACTATTCCAGCTCCTGTTTTTTTCTGGTGTGTGGGTGAGCCTATCTAACTACATATTTCAGCCAGCGTACACTCCAGAGGCTTTCCCGCCAGCTAAGCCAGTCAATCCATGTTTGGGATGCTTTTCCTAACTCAAAAGAATCTGCAACCTTTCAAAGTCTTCAGTCATCATAATTAATCCAGACTGGGGAAAGGGAGAGAATCCAAAGGGTCCTTTCAGCTTATTGTGCCAGGGGAAGTGAATAGCTGTAGTAAGTTCACCTCTGATGTGTTTAAGTAACCTATTATGTTACAGAAATGTCATCTTTTCCAAATTAATATCAAACAGCTCTGAATATGTCCACTTTGCAGCATAGCTGAGCGACAAGATTAACACTCCTTTCCCACAGCATCTCAGTGGATTTAATTAGTCATTAATTGCCTGCCCCTTTGACTATAATGAATTCTCAGACAAATTATTTAATTCCAGTTGCCTGGATAGTCAGCTTTCTAATGATTAATAAAAAACCTGCAGCATAACAGTAATCACTATAAACATCCATTAAAAAAAAATAAGTATGTCACTATTGAAAATGCTGAGTGCCTAGGAAGCCATTAATGAAATGCGAAGTACTTTTGTAGTCTCACTAGCTCTAATCAGTCATGGCACCTCAAGGTCTCCAAGTCTGTCACCCAAGCCCCATGACTAAACACAGAAGGTACCAAACACTGAGGCCATATAAGGCCCTGCTGGGTCAAAACTTTCTTAGAACAGAAGCCTGAACTGGAGTCATTCAGTTCAAGGCTCAGGCGTGATGGCCCCAGAGCTGAGTCTCATCCAGGGGTGTACAAACCTACAGATCTCCTCCCTGTCTTATGCATATACTTGCACCAGTGCTTGTGTGTGCACGTGAAAGCGTAACCCAGGCTGGCTAGGTGACACAGGAGGTTAGCATCTATGCTATAAAAATACACTTTTGAAAGATAAAACTTTTAATTACATTTTGGGCATCCATAAATAAGCCCTCTACAGCCATCCAATGGCCAAATCCCTAACATCCCTGAAATAAACCTCACAAATAATTAAATGAAATAAAGAAGATCAAAACCCACAGCCACAAAGGTTGGTTAAGTTGTGAGGGGTTATTTTTGTTGTTGTTGTGCATGTCACTAACACATACAAGTTACATTTTTTTCCCCAAGGATGCCTCTGAAGAACTTCTGTTCTCTGCTGGAAATGGGTGCTGTAACCTGGAGCCTGTTATAAGGGCAAGAGACAAGGAGGAATGAAGGGTTGGTTTTAACAAGGTCTTATGGTTTATGTGAAACACTGCCTAACTGTTACATGGTTGACTCTTGGAGTAGAATCTGATACCCTTTGTGAGGCGATGAGGCTCACTGTAGGGTGCTGGGATATGAGATGCTTTAGAGATGCTGGCAGTGCCTACCAATGCTAAGAGGAAACAGTGATTATAGGAGAGTTTTGGAAAAATAAGATATAGGTACCAGGCTCAGGGCTACAGAAAGGTAGCCCAATTTACCTGGGATCAGCAACCTGGAAACCTTTGTAGCAGGTAGTTATCTCCAGGAACTCTTTCAAAGGAATCGGCAATGCCAGCAACCAGAGTTTTTTGGTAGAGCACTTAGCAAGAAGGTTCTTTGCAGGATTCAACGTCTATGTGAAATGTGATATTCTAATCCAAAGTCAAAACAGGTAGTTAACGGGACAAGAGTTAGTTCTGGGTTTTGCTTCCGGGATTTTGTGAGCAGATGCAGAAAGGGTGAGGTTGTGTATTAAATCTCTCCAATAATGGGGCAGAATATGCTTTGGAGTCCATCTGCAAAAATCATTTGTAGCAATCCTGTACACATGCCAACAGCCATTTTGCAAGATGGATACATCCCATACATACTGTGGTCCATTCTGCATTTCAGCCCTGCTGCCAGTTAGCCTTTATTAGCCTGTGAACATTGAACCTTGCAGGACCCTAGTGAAAGGAAGGAAAACTGATCTCTTGTCAGCTAAATCACTGCTTCAGGCAAGTAGTTTACCCAGAAGAAAAAACTGCCTGTTTGTATATATATACACACACAGACACACATACTCGCTATGTTGGGTGATTTCTTTAACTTCTACTTGAAAATAATCCAGGGTACAGTAATTCAGTCTGGATCCAGAATATCTGTTTGCTTTTTCTGTGTATAACAGAATAGACCAAGTTAGATCAGTTCATCCAATGGCCCATGGATCCCTGGGGAACCAGGGACCACTGCAGCCAGTCTAGTGGAAGTCAGGGTAGTTAGGAAATGATAGGGCTGAAATCAGTCTCTACCT